TCAGTACACACATACTTTATACACTCCTGAATGCACGCACCCACAGATACACACACACACACACACACACACACACACACACACACACACACCCTCTATCTGCACACTGTGTTTTGAACACTCGGGACAGCCTGTGACTTGTTCATTTCTGAATCCCTGGTACCCAGCATGGTGCCACTCACATAGTAGGTGTTCCAAAATCTTTGTGGAACACAAGGATAAAGGTTGTGGAAAGGAAAGTGTTAAATTAATTACGAGCAGCCATAGAGCTATGCTCTCATGAGTCATGAAAGATTTCCATGCTTAGCTTCTGTGTACCTGGGAACTGTCAACATGAAAGGCAAAAAAGTAGCCAGGTTCAAGTAACCTTGAATATCCCGCATCCCATCCCTCAAGTATCACCTTGCATTAAGTAGATCAGGTGTTTGGTTAGTGTCCCCCACTGTGCTCAGAGATGCTCAGGCAGCGGGATGGGCCGGGGGACTGAAGATCCCTACCTACCCTGTCCCCCACTCTGGATGTGAGCAGGAGACAGACCTCCGCTGGTCTGCCCTCTCTTGAGGCTTCCTGTTACATTTGCCAGCTCACTCCCTTTGACCTAGCAAACTTAGCTGAGTTCACTAAAGCTAAATGTGTGTGAACAAAATTTCTATACAGAGCTGGATTTGTATTTAGCTCGTGTGTCATTATCACTTAAATATCCTTTCTGGAAGTATAAAATGCCTTTGAATATTTGGTCCAGTAAGTCTCCCTTTATCACCTTTGTTTCCTTTGTCATTCTGGCATAGAGAATTTTACGAAGTTGTTAAAAAACCAGTTAATTCAACCATATTTCTTAGTATGGAATGGGCACTTGAGACGGGGATTTTGGAAACTGTTTTTATGAACCAAGCAGGACTTCAGTAAGTCCTAGGGGTGACTAGAACCTAGTGGAGTCGGAAGAGGGGGTGGAAGATGGCTCAGTTGGAGATGTACAAGAAACCCTGGAAATGAGGATATCTGTCCTATGTGGAAAGCGGGGACTGCCTGACTCATGGGGACACTGAGTAGCCACTAACAATGAGTCTAGACACTGTCCTTTGGTAAAAGGGACCAAGTTGAGGTTCTTTGTTTTCCATTTCGGCAAAAGGATGTTTCTCATATTTATTTGTTCCTTATAGACAAAATGTATGGCAATCCTAGATGATGCCTGGCCCTGGGCTGAGCACTAGGGACACAGTGGGGGTCCTACAGGGCAGAGGAGGACAGACAGGAAATGGGCTGAGTCAGGTCATAAGTGGAGGGGCAGCCACCCAGCCTTAGGGTGAGGGAAGGAGGTGTAGAAGGAGAACAGGTGCTGGTGCGGTGGGGCCCAGGGCCAGGCAGGTGTTCCAGACCTTGAGTGTAAAAAGCTACAGGGCTTCCGCCTGACTGAGGTTTAGCATCGACCCCTCCATGTGGGTCTCCAAGAATAATGAAGTCAACAAGCAGCAACAGGCTTGATGAGGTGTTGGTTTCTTTGGCAGACAGGTTATTTGAAGAGAAAATTTTAATTAACAGTTCTCCTCTCTATTTATGTTTGTTACATTTGATGTCTCAAGAATGTGAGCTGTTTCTTAAATTTTTTTAGAAAAAAAAAGTCTTCACAAGTAGATGCCAGGTTGATGTCAACATTTTCGTTTGTTAAATACAGACTGGGCATGCAAGTATCGTTCCTGGCACTAGGTGTTCAGTACAGAATGCCAAACTCGAGGACCGCGAAGGGTGAAAAGTAGGGGTCTAGCTGAGTGGAGGGGGCGCAGCCTGCCGGGTGGATGTAGGAAGCTCTGGTTACACCAGGCTCAGCTGACCTCTGTCCCTTGTCACCCGGAGCCACAGGTGACAAATGTGTCTTCTTCTGCTATCATCTGTGAAATCAGGAACTCGTATTTCAACTCGTGGTTTTTAGCCATAAAACAAGAATAAGCGAACCACTTATTTCTTATAATCAGGAACTAATGCTTTGCAAGAGTAAGAAAGAGGACTCAAACTTCCTGAATATGCGTGTGGCTTTAATAGAAAGTACTTTGTACTTTTGTGGCTTTTACATGTAGAGTTTAGATATAGGCGAGACATATCAAAATAAAGTATTCTAGAACATAGATTTACTGCATAGTGTCCTTTGTTAGAATATGAGGCAGGTCACGAAGTAAAGTCCTATTAATATTTTTCCCATCCAGCTTAGTAGGCTCAGATAAGCTACCTTGGCCTAGTTACTTTCTTGATACTTAGGGAATCCATGGATTTTCAGTGTCCTGTCTACTTTAAGAAATGCAATAAGCCAGTCAGTGCCATTATAAAATGAAAATGTCATCATGACTTATACTCATAGCTACTGTCTAGTATGTGCAGGCATTGTGTTAGATTTTTTGCTACGTTATCTCTTATACACATTGACCAAAATAGGTATTAGTACCCCAGTCATTCATTCATTCATTCATTCATCCATCCAATGAATTCAAATTTAGCTTCTAATATATGCAGGATACTACCCCAGGTGCTAGGGGTGTATTAGTATACAAAATGGACTAAAAGAAATCCCCCATGAATTCCTGGAGCTTATGTTTCTATGAAGGGAATGGATAAAGAAAGAGAAGCTCAAAGAGTTAGGACAAAAACTTAACATCTCAATAGCAGGGGGTGGGGCAGCCGGATCTTCCTGACCCAACCGAAACCCTTTGCATTATATCACCACATGTCCATTGGTAATGCACATTGAATTCACCCAACAATTTTTTATGCAAAGCTTACATTGTGGGGAAAGAGTTACAGTATTTTCCTGGTTCTATCGATTCCATTGACAGTAAAACACCACATAACAATTTAATGTGAATTTGGGCATGATAGGGTGGAGAGTGGAACTTTTCTAAATGGAAATATTTTCATTGGCATCCCAGTTCCAGAAACATTAACATGTGTTTGTTTTACTTTAAAAAAAAAACACAGAATCTAAGAATCAAGGAATATGATCTTTAAACTTGTAAGCCAGGATTTGAGTTCTCATCACTAACAATGGTAGTGAACACAGCCAGCTATTCATTATCATTGAAAGTTCTAAAAGATTTGCCATCAGTGATCTAGAATAATAATGGCGCATGGCCAGAGGTAGCAACTGTAACTGCTCACGGTTGCTTAAACTCATTATAAGCAGCACTGCAGCAATTAATGCCAATATGAGTTATGTAGCCTTGAAATAATACATTAGGAAGTAAGAAGTCCTCCTTTATGCAAAGGTCTGAAGTTTGTAAATCTTACTTGAAATATAGTCTGTGAGGAAATTAGCCCTATGTTAAGCAGTATTTAATTGTGGGGTATCTTCGGGAACATGAGTCTTAGATAAAATTCATCTGTCCCTGGTTTACATATTGATCAAGTCATGTATTTGCCCGTGTGTGCATTTTGCTCATCTGGCGTTCAGCTATGTGGGTATTTGAGGATTTGCTAGTTCTGGGAGCAGGAAAGGAGGAAAGGAACAATCCCTGCCTACCTCCTCTTGCCAGTCTTATTTAAGGGGTAAATATTCCTGTATTGAGAAACATTCGTTCTTGCAAATCTATGTCAGTTTTCCTTCCACAGAGGCACAGTATCCCAAGCATGGAGCTAGAAGCTGAGAAAAGTAAATGGAATAAATGGTGAGTTATTTGAGCATTTCTCACCCTTTCTCTGTTTTGTGTAGGTGTGCACCAGGATATTTTGGGAATCCTCAAAAGTTCGGAGGTAGCTGCCAACCTTGCAATTGTAACGGCAATGGCCAGTTGGGCTCTTGTCACCCCGTAACTGGAGGTAAGGTCCGTGCACATCCTCTGCTAACCTGAATGGATAAATTTGGCTTAATATAACAGCCAAAGGGCCAAAGCACAAATTTCCAGGAAGCATAATACATAATTCCAGCTAGCAAATAGCCCCCTTGCTCTTACAACTGGAAATAATACCTGGGAATGGACTAGGTGTTATTTACAGTTTGGGTGAATAAATTGCATCAATTAGTTTTTAAAAATAAATTGTTTTAAAAATTCAACTAATGATAGCTAAAACCACTTCAGACTGGTGGTTTTGCTGAGGTCTCCCTTTGACATAGTAAGATAATACTCACATCAGCTTTCTCCATGTGTACATCTGAAGAAGTCAAAGTAGTTTTTCTCTTATAGCTACATATATTCTGAGATGTGGGCAGGTAATTGGGTGGGTCTTACATCCAAGGAAAAGATAATTTTTCAAAGTTGGTATGAGTTCATTAGGAGCAACTCAGAACAAAAAGATGACTATCTTCTTCCTTCTTTCAGAGAAAATATTAATATGATTTATCAAGAAAATGCCATTGATTTAGTGTCAGTCACTTAGATAAAATCTCTCATAGTAATGGGTAATGTGAAAAGCTAAACCCTAGACATGTGGATTGGATCTGATCAAGGAACTATTCCCAAAAGAAGGCAGAGTAAATAGATTAATGCCAATCTAGAATGGGAGTATGTGTTGTCATGTCTCTGGACTTGCTTCCTGGCTGCATTTCATTCAATATTTCTGATGCAGTTGTAAATACAGAAGGCGTGCCTACCTACCCAGTTATCAGAGGTCACAAAGGTAGCAAATGCCTACTCTGACACATTTAGAATATAAAAGGACCACGCTTAGGAAAACTTCTAACTTAGAGTTTTACTGTGGGGAAGTTGGATTGTTTTTCAGAGGACATTTCATCATAATTCATGGCATGGGGAAAAGAAAGTGGAAGGTGTAAGGCAAGGCCAAGGGTGACCACTAGGCTTCCCTGAGCTGTAGTTAAGAGTCTCAAAACTCACCTTGCACATCATCGACAGGGAAGCTCAACAACGCTGTGTGCCAGTCTCCATCGCAGTATCTGTCACAGTTTTGTCATTTGTCTGCCTCTCCCAGACCACATGCTCACCACAAGACACCAGGGATTTTGTCTTGATGTCTCTTATTTCCTGCACCCTGCACAGGCACATGGTGGGTGCTCAAAGGTGCTGGATGACTGTTTGTTCCGTGATCTTGAATGATGTTGGAAGGAGTGTGAACACATAGTGGGGCTATCCAATGCGGGGAGCCTTAACCTAGCAATTAGGAGTTTTGGTTGGTAGGAAAGTCATGGCCCTCCAGAGAGATGGCGCTACATGAGAAGAAATGAAAGGTACATAATCAAGTGAGCCGCAGAGAAGTTCCTGCAGCAGCCCTGCTAGGAAATGGCTTGGGAGTTGGAGGTTTGGGGTTAGGTGGGTAAGGACCAATGATGCTGGGTGGTTGGGTGACTAAAATATCCCCAAACTCACTTTTCTGAAAACCAAGTTAGAGGGCAGATGAAGAGAAAGTTCAATAATAATGTCTTCTTTGGTTTTTACCTGTTTTCAGACTGCATAAACCAAGAACCCAAAGATAGCAGCCCTGCAGAAGAATGTGACGGTAAGATGGTAAAGCCTCCTCCCTTTCCAAGTGCAGGGTTTCGTTTAAGGCACATGAGCCCCACGGCAGACATGCAGTGGTAGGAGGAGGGGTCGCACGCAGCCTCTGTTGACTACTGGCTGTGTGACCTTCAGTAGGTGCCTGACTTTTCCAGTCCTACTTTCATCATTTGTAGAATGGACACAGTCACTACACCTACCTCAAAGAGCTTTTGGGGAAGTGCTTGGAAATCCTGTAGCACAATACCTAGTCAGTAGAAAGCACTCCATAAATCAAAGCCACTCTTAGTTATTTTTCCCACATACAAAATAAGCATTGATTTGCACAGAATCACCATTTCTATTTCAAATGCTCATTTCTGTTGGAGTTCATGTCCCTCTCTGAGAAGGGCTGTGACTTCTGCCCATGATGCCCTGGGAGCATATGAACTGGACCGTGAAGCTCGGTTCTCTTTACTTTTCCTTGGCACCAGCCTCCAGCACTTTTGCCTTTGATTATGGTTCCTGCAGATTGTGACAGCTGCGTGATGACGCTCCTGAATGACCTGGCCACCATTGGCGAAGAGCTCCACCTGGTCAAGTCTCAACTGCAGGGCTTGAGCACCAGCTTGGGTGCCCTGGAGCAGATTCAGCACATGGAGACCCAAGCCAAGGACCTGAGGGTAAATCCCCCCTGGGGCAGGAGAGAGTAGATGCTCAGTGAATGCAGTGGTACCTTGGTATCCACTTGGGAACCCCCGGATACCAAAACGTGCAGATACTGAAGTCTCTTACATAAAGTGTAATATTTGCATATAATCTGCATGCATCCTTCTGTATACTTTAAATGACTTCTAGCTCACTTATAATGCCTAATACAGTATAAATGCTATGCAAATACCTGTTACACGGTATTGTTTAGGGAATAATGACAAGAAATTTTCTGTAATGTTCAGTATAGATGCAGTGGTTTTTTTCCCCCAATATTTCCCATCCTCAGTTGAATCTGTGGGTAACAGAGCGCTCTGATTCAGAGTGGACTGTGAATGAATACTTCTCAAGTGGGGAAAGAGGAGAGGCTGACTCCACTGAATGCTTACAAGGTTCCTTCTTCCTCTCATCCAAATGAAGATTAGCTTTTCACTGGTGGGAAGTGCTTGTGAAGGCACAAGATTAACACTTCAGTGTGCAGATTTCTTATTACTCAGGGTTTCCAGGCTACATTTTTTCATAGAGTCTTTAGCTCAGTATCTTGTATTCAGACAATCCAAACAAAGGTTTATATAAAATTAATTTAATTCTTCTGCCCAAATGAGCCTGGGAATTTCTTTGTTAGAAGTTTTTAAACCATAATTTTAATTTTTAAAAAATAGATATGAGAGTACTCAGGTATCTATTTCTTCTTGGTGATATTTGGTAGTCTTTGTTTTTCAAATGATGTGTCCTTTCATCTAAATGATTAAGTTTATTAACATAAAATTATTCATAATGTTCCTCTGCTATCCTTTTTATAACTCCACAATCTATGGTGATGTCTTCTCATACATTGCTGGTATTGGTAATTTATGCTTATCTCTTCCTGGTGATTATTTTAGCTAGATGTTGATCAACTTTATTGATCTATTTCATTGATTTTCTTCATTGTTTTTCTTTTTCAATTCCACTGATTTCTGTTCTCATCCATGTTTTTTTTTTCTTCTTCCTACTTGCTTTGGTGTAATTTGCTATTCATTTTCTAGTTTAAAATGAAAGCTTAATTTACTGATTCAAACATTTATTTTTGTTAATGTAAGCATTTAATTCTACACTCTTCCCCTAGGTGCTTCTTTTATTGTATCCTATAGATTTTGAAATATTTTTTCATTCGCATTCTAATTTCCCTTGGGACATCTCTAACCCATGAGTGATTTGGAAGTGTGGTGTTTACCTTAGGAATTGGAGAATTCCCCAGATAACTTTCTAGTATTGAGATTTAATTTAACTGTTGTGGTTGGAGAACGAATTTGATATGATTCCATTTCTTTTACATGTGTTAAGGTTTGTTCCATAGTTCAGAATATGGTCCAAATGGGTGAATGTTCTTTGTGCACTTGACTGGTAGAAGAATGGGTCTAAAGGGTCCCACAGTGCTGCATCAGGTTCTCTGGGGAAACTGCAAGTTATCTGCCCAATGAGCCTGTAACATTTTAACAGATAGATAACAGGAAGAAAGACACCCAACTGAAGTAACATTTCAGAGATGAATGGACTTTAGATAAATGAAAACAAAAGGACAATCAGAAAATTAAATAGTACTATCCAATAGAAAGAATAAGAAACCAGGAAGTTCAAGGGGGAAAAGACCACTAGATATCAAATGAGAAAGGTGGAAATGAACAGATCCAATTGAAAATAAGGGCACTGAACAATATATGTTTGTTTAAGTAAAAGAATTCAGTAAATGAAATAAACCCGAGACTAGACACAGTGAAAGAGGCTTTGGGGGAAATTTTAATAAGTGCTTTTGGAAGAAGGCCTAATTCTAGTGGATATAGCAGAATATATATAGCCAAAAATAATTCTAGAAAAATGGCTTCTTTTCATCCCCTCAGAGTAATTTTAGTTTGTGATTTAAAGGCTTAATATAGGGGAGAGGGGAAAATAGTCTTTAGGTTGTCAGCAGTAAGGAAACTGTGTGAGTTAACTTTGATTTCTTGGACACAACCCTGGACATCTTTACTTTTCTGTACATATTCTCTGGGCTGGGATGTGTCATGTTCTTAACTCAAGTGTCACAACATCCCCATCAGGAAAATAGCGATCTTTACATTTAATAGGCATCGAGACGCTGCCTAAAACCACACGCTAGAACCGAGAAGCTCCAAAAGAATTCAAATCAAGACCAAAGCCTAAGGTCGTGTTTAACCTAGTGTACCTCTTACCCAGGTGTTCTGCTAACATCCGTGTAGCAATGTGCCCCAGATTTCCCATTATCAAATTCAAACAGAACTGTTTTCTTTTTTTAAATTTATATCTTTATTGGTACATTTTAGGTATACAATATATTTACATTTATCATTGGCTGCTTATACCTGAACATGATGTATCCTGGTTCTTATTTTTTCCCCCATTCCCTATGCGCCCTTCACTCCTCCATCCTTCCCTATTTACATAGTCAATTTTTGCAGAGTCCTTTTCTTTTTTTAAATTTATATCTTTATTGGTACATTTTAGGTATACAATATATTTACATTTATCATTGGCTGCTTATACCTGAACATGCTGTAACTTAGTTCTTATTTTTCCCCCATTACCTGTGCGCCGTTCCCTATTTACATAGACTTTGTTTCCTTTTTTTTTTTCTTTCTCATAATTTTTCCTTTCCCTTCTTCCCTTTCCCCTTCCCCTCTGGCCACCCCTACACCTTTGGACCTTTTCCTATTTCAAATTATCAATTATTCATTTTAATCATTTTCATCCTTACTTACACTCTCAGTTTCTCATACTAGAGAAACTATTTGGTATTTACACATGTGTGTCCTATTTATTTCATTTAAGAATATGGCCTTGATATGCATCCATTTAGCTATAAATGTCTCTAGTTTCTCATTCTTTATGGCTGAATAGTACTCCATTTTATTAAAAAAACACATCTTCTTTATCCAGTTTCCAGTTGATGGGCACTTGGGCTGTTTCCAAGCTTTAGCTATTACAAACTGTG